AAGCTACGAGAATACTTTTTTGCGCAAAGAAAACAAAAATAACGACTTTATTCCACATTTTCGTCCACATTTTCCGCCGGATCTGGGTCAGCGCCGGCGCCGCCACACGCTGGCGTCATGCGAGTTGAACCACTGATGTCACACGGACTACTTTGTCGATCATCCTGGTACTTTTCTGGACCTTGAACGTGGTAGTTACCTTGCTGTCTATGGGAGGGTCAGAGAGCCCTCAGATTTCATCAAAAATATCTTACATTGTGTTCCGAAGATGAACGAAGGTCTTACGGGTTTGGAACAACACGAGGGTGAGTAATTAATGACATATTTCATTTTTGGGTGAACTAACCCTTTAATGCCTTAACATAATGAATGCTTGTCATTTTGAAGTTGACTGAGTAAATTAAATTATTTAGTCATTTTTTTTAATTGATGCACTAATTTAGTTCATACATCAGGCTTTTATCGCCCATATATGATATAGTGAGAGATGTACAAATATATGTTGTCCGTTAACACTTTATATTAACTTTCATTAATAAATCATTAGCAAACATTATATAATGCTGAACTGATCATTAGTTAATATATATTCAAATAGCTAGAAATTTGAGATAAAGTGTTTGTTAATGTTTACTAATAAACGTATTAGTAAGTAAGACTATCAAGTATAGGGTCCAATTCTCACTATTAACTAGTTGCTTATTAGCATGCCTATTATTAATATATTAGCTGTTTATTAGTACTTATAAAGCACATATTCTGCATGACCATATTCTACATCCCAAATCCTACCCACTACCTAAACTTAACAACTACTATACTAACTATTAATAAGCAACAAATTAGGAGTTTATTGAGGCAAAAGTTGTAGTTAATGGTTTGTTAATAATGAGAATTTGACTTTAAAATAAAGTGACCAAACTTAACTCAACTTTAATAAACATTACCTAATGATTAACAGATCATTATTTAATGTAAATTAAAATACTTATAAATGTCATCAAACTTTCAATTCAAATGATCATGCACTTTTAAATAAATTTTGTTGTTATATATGTTATATGTTATAAAATGAATTAAAACTTGTGTTAATGCACAACACATTTGCTGCTATTGAGGTGTGATACGGGTAAGGTTAGGGACAGGTTTAGTGGTATGGGTCGGTTTAATACAGGGGTGTCAAACTCAATTCCTGGAGGGCCGGAGCCCTGCAGAGTTTAGATTCAACCCTAAACACACCTGATCCAACTAATCAAGTCCTTCAGGGTTATTTGAAAACTACATGGTATATGTGTTGGAGCAGGATTGGAACTAAACTCTGCAGGACTCCGGCCCTCCAGGAATTGAGTTTGAGACGCCTGGTTTAAGGGTTGGTTAAGATGTATGGGGGTCAGTTTGATTACTGTAAGGGAACACGGTTCAATATTGGAAAAACTTGATTCATTTTCTCCTTTTTATGCATGATTCCAGGAATATCCTGTTTAATGATATTCAGCAGTATACTAATATAAGTGTTGAGGCAATAAAAACATATGCACTCAAATTACAATGTGTGTTGTCTTTAGCAAGCATTTAGCCAAACTTAACTAACCACCCTTAACTAACCTTAACTAACTTAACTAACCACCCATATATATATATATATATATATATATATATATGACCTGAAGTTTAATGACATTTGTTAGTATTGAAAAGTGCATATATAATAAATAAGCTTTTAATCATTGTATACTTAAATGTGCATGATCAAAGGAATTGAAAGTTTAATGACATTTGCAAGCATTTAATTTTACATTAAATAACAACCTGTTAATCTTAATGTTTAATGAGTACATTAGTAAAGATTAACAGGCACTTTATCTCATATTTCTAATCTATTTTAACCAATGATCTGTTAAGCATTATATAATGTTTGTTAATGATTTATTAATGAAAGTGTTACCTGTTGCCCAAAAGCCTCCTTTATTATTTTTGATATTTACATTTACTACAATATTTCTAAAAAAAAAAAAAAATAAATGTTGTATGGATAATAATAAAAAAAAAACCTAGTTGCTTCAGTCCAATAAGTGTTAATCTTGAAAACTAACAATATAAAAGGTATTCTTACGTTTAATTAAGAATAGGCACATGTACCACAATCTACATTTTTACAATTGTACTAAAAGGCCTTTTACTTACTAAAAAAGTATGTACTATCAATTAACGGGCAGAAGGCATGTAGAAGATTGTGTAACAGGTTTTTCAGCAGGTTTGATTATGTTAACAGTTTAGAGGTTCATGCATCAAATATGATACAGCAGGATTTGTAGTGTATTTATTTATTCATTTACCTGTCCCAAACGTGTAGTTCATGTCAACTTGAGTGCTGCTGTCATTAAAGGTCCCCTGAAATGCTTAGAAACGCACAGCGTTACTCTATGTGTTGACGTCATTTTAACTGAAACAGGAAGACAGGGCGGGACATATCAAGCAGCCCCGCCCCTTTTTAAAATTGCCAATAGCGTTCGTTTATATCACAGCTTGGGCTAGAGCCGTTGCGCTCCGTAAAGTTGCATTTGACAGGGCATGCCAGCCACAATCTCATCCATATTGCCATAAAATATAGCATTCTGTGTAGAATTAAAATAGCTCCGATACATTTTGTGGTCTGCAGCCGACTCGCGCATGTGATCCGCTCCGTGCTATCGTGTCTCTGGACCGGAGCAGAGTGTGTGTGCGGTGCGGTGGTTAGCGTGACACAGTTTGAATCGTTCCCTGAAGTACGATGTGACGTCAAAAAAAACGTTGAGCCGTTTAATGAACTTATTTATTCATTCATTTATTTGTTTGTTTATGCACATGCTTGTGGTCTCAAACTTTTGGTTTCAGATATTTAAAAGAAAAATGTGTCATCTCGTTCACACTTATATAATACAGTTCCAAGCCCATTTTATTGTCTTTTTTCAGTGAAGCATAAACATCTTATTGTATGTTACACAAAATAAATTTGGATTTGGAATGGCATGAGGGTGGGAAATAATGACAGAATGAAACAATTATTTTAATTCTTTCAGTTCTTTGAAGTGGGCCCACTAGTAAATGTCATCCAGACATGGCTTTGCATATATTCATATATTCTTTTTTTTTTTTCTTTTAGCATATGAATTACAAAACTGTCAAGACCCATATCCATTCCACAACGGGTATATCATCAACAGCGATTTCAACGCAGGCCAATCCATAACATTTGAATGCTTCCCTGGATATGTGTTGGTCGGCCACCATGTGCTAACATGCCAGCATGGAATCAACAGGAAGTGGAACCACCCTTTTCCTCACTGTGAAGGTAAAGGGAAGGGAAGAAAGTAAAGAAATGTGCTCTTTTTCCTTCTCAAGTTTTTCAAGTCGTGTTGTGATTAGCACACTGTTATTTTCAGTCCTCTTTGCCCACACTTTGAAACAAAAAGCATCAATAATTCTCTGACTTTTCGAGACTTACAAAGGTATTATACTCTCCCAAATGCCTTTTTAACTATGCTCTTTAAGTGATGTGTTACTACTTTGTATTACTAGTACAATAAGAGCCATTGTGTTTTAAAGCCATCTTTAAAACAGACTTTGAAGACCTGAACAGTGGAGACATATGCTACTGGGAGCTGTTCTAAATTGTAGCCTTGATGATTAGCCTGGGTAGTGTAGTGTGAAAGCCGACCTGTCTCTTATCGATCAGTCACTCGACTTGTTCCGCCTAGGCTTCCGTTTTCAGCAGGGAATCTGCACCGCATAGACTATTGGGACATTTTTCTTTCTTTTTTAATCGTAACTGTGTTATTCTGTTGTGAACTCTGTGCCAGTATCTTTTTCTAGCAGCCTCAGGAATGCTCTGTTCTTTTCTTCAGTTTTCACTCATCTGCAAATGAAACCGGACGATCTGCTATAGTAGTCTTTAAAGGGGAAAATATGTATGTTTTGTCATTGTTTCTGCACTCTCATGTTATTTATTTTGTAATTTTTTTCTCCCCATACAACAAGACTTTATAGTGAAGTCTGTAAAAAAAAAAATGGACAAGAAACCATGAGAAAGGCACCAAAAAAGTAGTCCACATGACTCATGCAAGTCTTCTGAAATCATACAGTTGTGGTGTTTTTGGTCCTTTTTTGGAGATTTATAAAAAAAGAACTGCGGGGGGTAAATAATGTGACTTTTAATTTTTGGGTGAATTATTTCCTTTGTGTTCTGATTTTTGCTGGATTCCCTGGTGTTTAACATTAGCTGTTATTCAGAAAGATAGATTACTAATGCCGTCATGGTTGAACGATGTTTATCTGCACACAGCTCCCTGCGGCTACAACGTGACGGCTCCAAACGGCACCATTTTCTCTCCAGAGTACCCAAATGAGTACCCAGACTCTCAGGACTGCACTTGGCTCATCACCGTGCCCCATGGTCACGGGGTTTACATCAACTTCACCCTGCTCCAGACTGAGCCTGTGACTGACTATATCGCTGTCTGGTGAGCGCAGCTCCATTTAACGAGTCATTTAGCAAATATCAGACTGAGATGAGGACAAGACATTTATTTCAGCTTTCAGACTAGACTAATGCTGCTATTGTTGTCATACATCAAGCAAATCATTACGCAAATCGAGCTTTGTTTACTGACATTTGTAATCTGTAGTCAATGCGCAAAGCAAGATTTCAAGAAAAGCTCAGTTGTCTTTGAAGTCGTGAAGCTTTTCACTCAAAGCATGATTCTCATGAAAAATAAAATAAAATGGAATATATAAAGCATAATTTACAGTAATTTACAATAACAATGAATAATCTGCCATTAACAATTAATACCCTGCCATTAATATGGGGATATTGATATGTTTTACTGATAACACTTTTGGTTTAGAGACCAATTTTCACTATGAACTAGTTGCTTATTAGCATGCATACTACTAGCATATTGGCTGTTTATTAGTACTTATAAAGCACATATTACTGCCTTATTCTGCATGACCAGATTTTAGATCCCATAATCCTACTCCATACCTAAACTTAACAACTACCTTACTAACTATTAATAAACAGCAAATTAGAATTTTGTTGAGGCAAAAGTGATAGTTAATAGTGAGAACTGGTCCCCAATGTGACCATTTTACTTTCTGAGTAATTAATATTCTCATTAATGTAATGCATTTTAGTAGAGCATTTAAAAATACTGAACCAATTTTCCAAATACAACAACAAATTATGATATATATATATATATACATATTTTACCTACTTTCTTGAATTTCTGGTCACAGTTTATTTAAAGGTCCAATTATCATTCCCATTAACTACAACTTTTACCTCAATTTGCTGTTTATTAATAGTTAGTAAGGTAGTTGTTAAATTTAGGTATTGGTTAGGATTAGGGATGTAGAATATGGTCATGCAGAATATGTGCTTTATAAGTACTAATAAACAGCCAATATGTTAATAATAGGCATGGAAATAAGTAACAAGTTAATAGTGAGAATTGGTCCCTAAACTAAAGTGTTACAGAATTTCTTCATTTGAAACACTTTAATTTCTTTTACTAATGTTACTGAAGTTACAGAAATAACTGAATGGAAAGCTTGTTTTTAAATCGCAGGTGTTTTGTAATAATCACAGAGCCGAATGTCATAATTCCCACTGAATAATCTGAAACAGTAACGAGTTGATTAAAAACATGTGGAAATATACATCTCCTGCGCTTTCCCAGTAATATTGGCCATTAATCTTCAAAAGCCATTAAAGCGGACTAGTCTGTTAAGTCATCATTTTTGCTGTTTTCGTTGAAGCTGGTCTGTAATGTAATGCTTTTATTCAAAAGTCAGCACAACCTCATTGTAAATTTGGAAGTAAATCAATTTTCTCCAACCACTCAGAATTTGGAGGCATTATTATGCCGTTTAATGGCAAGATCACAGGTTGTAATGTAATTTCAATGCGTGTTTCCTCTTCCAGGGACGGCCCAGAGCAAAGCTACCCGCAGCTGGGAATTTTCAGCGGCAACACAGCCCTCGAGTCAGCCTACAGCACTTTCAATCAGGTTCTTATCAAGTTCCACAGCGACTTCTCGACAAGTGGATTCTTTGTCCTCAATTTCCATGGTTAGTTTCTCCTTCAAATGAAAAATGTTGCCGCTGAATGCATACCGTAAAGTGCCGCTCGAAATATATTCGAAACATTGGATTTGACTTGTTTTTATTCTCTAAGGAGGCATGACTGCTGCCTCTAATGCCATCACGTTATTTATGGAGATTAAAAGAGTCAAAAATAGAAGCTTTCTTTGGCCTCTTTGATATCAGTGTCAGCATGCAGGCATGTGTTGAACAGCATAGGAAAATCGGAGTGTGAAAGTGAACCGGTCTTTCATCTATACCTCCAACTTTCATTTCAGTCTGGCATATTTGTGAGTTATAGATGGCTTGTTTCAATGCAGCTTTTATTCTTGAGAGGGCTCCCTGTATGTCGATGCATAGAATTGTATGTTGTCACATGTTGTATGTGTAATTGATACACCGACTGGGTTGCCGTGTGAGATGTGTCATGCCTATAAAGGAGAAAGAAAAGGCAAATTGCTTCAAAACTTTTTTATTTCCTTAGCTTATGGGCTCAAGAGATGCCCTCCTCCCCCTACGGTTGAGCAAGCAGAGGTATTATTTGAAGACCAGGACTACGAAATCGGTATGAACAACAGTCCATTTGTGCAAGAATATCAAATAGTGATTAAAAAAAAAATTGATTTTTTTTTATTTCTTCTTACTGTCTTACTGTACCTTGCAGGTGACATTGTGAGGTATAGATGCTTTCCTGGATTTACATTGGTTGGCAGCGATGAACTCACCTGTAAGCTGAATTCTCACCTGCAGTTCGAGGGTCCACCACCGGTGTGTGAAGGTCAGTGAAGAACAAAACCTGTCGAAGTGTGTGAAGTATATTTTTCAATTATATATACATTTCATTATATATATATCCTTTTTTCCACTAATTACTGTAAAAATATTCTCATTTTGATTGTCGAATTGTAAAAAAATAATAGTAAATTAATCAAATTTTAAAGTGTTTATATGCAATGTTGGTGTATTACCTTTAACATACGCTGCGTACTGAATTATGATTTGATATCACATGCGTATTAATTATATATAGTGACCTTGCATTGTTTATTTTGGTGCTGACAGAAAACAAGATGCAAGCTTAGCATCCTGATGATGGCAAAGTGACTCTGATGCAGCATAAAGCCTGAAACTTGCCTAAACTTTACAAACATTCTATAGTGCTATTTCCTCCAGGATATTTCTTTTATTTATTTAATTATTTATTTAGTCATTTAGCAGACGCTTTTATCCAGTAATATTGGCCATTAATCTTCAAAAGCCATTAAAGCGGACTAGTCTGTTAAGTCATCATTTTTGCTGTTTTCGTTGAAGCTGGTCTGTAATGTATATATATATATATATATTATTGCATTTCCATTTAGTTTGTTGAAGGATTAAAATAACTCAAATTAAATAAAACTAAAACTTAATAAAAGACCTATACAGACATAATAAATTCAGACATAATTTAACTAAAATTAAAATAAATAACAAATACAAATAATACAAATCAAACGTCAGTAGTTTATCAGTAATCCTAAAAAATAACACTGCCAAACACACATGTTAAAAAAACAACAACTTACTTACACATAGTAAGAAATGGTTATAAAAACTGAAACAGAAGCGAAACAAGTAAGTAGGAAAGAAGAGAAATAAAAAGCGATACTTATCCTTTAATAAGTATATTAATATTTACCTTAATATTTAATGCGTTAAACTGAAAAAATTAATTGCATGCATTAATGTGCTAATTTTGACAGCACTAATATTAATATTTTTATTTATTTATATAAATAAATATATATATATATATATTAATATAATATATAAAATATGTATGTATTATAAAATATTTTTGTATTACCATAAAAATATAAAATATTTTTATGGTAATACATAAACAAAGCAATATATTACAGTAATGAATATTTATTTAATAATGGGAATTACAAAACACAACCAAAAGGAAGTACTTCATGTAAATAATTTAAAGATGGTTGGGGGCCACCAATCTGAAATAATAAAGATGTTGAATCGTTAGTATGATTCTTGTAATCAGAGCTTGCAAAAATATAATCCATAAAAAGATGGCACTGAACACCCCAGAGGCAGCATTGTTTTGTTGTATGGTAACAAATAGACAGTAGCCAACAGCTGTCTTGGGGGCGGGGGCGGAGGGGGGAGCATTCCA